ATGACGTTTACCTAATATCGTAACTCTCCGGGTTTCAATTCTCGCCAGTGGATGCGCACTGCTGATGAGTCCCAAATATAGGACGAAACGGCTTATAGTGCTTTCTGTATTCTGTTGAGGTTTCTTCTAGAATTGATGAATTACTTAATTATATATCTCTTTGTTCACCACCTGATGAGATGCTTATGGTTAGGCATCGAAACAATTTTTGCATCTTTGTAGTGATTACTTGTTTGTTCGTATGCAATAACTTACATAAAGAAGGGACTTGAAGTAACAGAAATATGGTTCTACAGAAGGATGCTGAGGATACCATTGACTGAACATGTCAGCAATGACGAAAACAAAGAAAACGGTACTTGCTCTTTGATATTAGTCAATTGCAATCACAGTTTTTCTGTACTACTTTATAGCTGTAGAAAGACTCGCCTATCGCCCGGTTGACATTCCTTCCAAGTCTATTGAACACGACTAGAGGTTTATCCTTTGTTTCTTGTTTAGGGTTTGGGTGTCCAGTTCCTTCTAAAGTCTTCTCATTCTCTTTCACTCCCATTAACACTTTGTGTCTTAGTGGCATTATCGCCTTGCTTGAGGTGAAATAATTAAAAAAAATAATTAACATAAATATGACACTAATTGGCAGTACAGATATGACACTTTTATATATTTTTTCTATGTGGGGTGTCTTTTCAGGACTTTCGCGATCATGGCTCTCCACATTTTCTTGACGTTTGTAGCTATTTTTTTTCTTTTTGCTATCTCACATAAATCTTGCTCGTCCATTCATTTTTTGAAGTTCTCCATGAAGGTTATATGTTGTTGTCTCCTGTCCATCTTGACTGCTATCTGCCATGTGAGTATTAAATTTTCCAAGCCTTCTTTCTTCATTATGCGCCCTAGAAATTTCAACTTTCCTGATGTTATATATGTGTCCTTTTTGTTTCCATTTTCTCTAAAACTTCGTCGTTGCTCACATGCTCTGTCCATAGTATTCTCAACATCCTTCTGTAGAAGCACGTTTATGTTGTCTCTTATTCAGCTGTGAGGAGAAGAATTCAGTACTAACAAACATATGAGACGATTTTTAATGTCACATGTTCTGTTCACAAGCGTCTTGGGTATTCTTCCAAGCCAATCGATGAGCACTATTGAATTCAAGTTCCCTTTTGTCATTGCGTGATCCGTGTCTATCGTGCGCGGTCATGACGACGAATGCACTTTTGCCGAAGGATAAGAAGTCAAAGCCGAGAAGCCGAAAGGACACAATGCCGAACGGACATAAAGCCAAACGGACGATAACATTCCTTGATTCAGTCAGTTATGTGCCATGCGTCATATACGCTTAGGAGATCATGTATCTTTTCGATACATGACTGACGAGGCAGATTATGTCCCGCAGTAGGTTGTGCGGTAGACCAGTTGCCATCCAAGCCTATAGAACCCGACAAGTTTGGAGCATGACCAAAGTGACTTTCCACAAATGTTCAATTTTCCGTCGCCAACGACAGATACTTATCAAATTTTATGGGGTAGGCTGGACTTATACTACAGATTGGTAGGGGGGGGGCGATATCAAAGAATTCATTAAACAAAGGGGTAGAAGCAGAGCAGTAAAAGTTATACTTTTCCGGTCATCTCTCAACCTACTAGGCGCTAAAAGATATATTTTTAAATTTTCACTCAAAGACATGATAGTCAAAGGGCAGAGCATTGTACGAAAATCACACCTGAAGCCATGAAAAAGATAAAAATAAATACAATATGATCCCTGTCAATGCGGATACATACACATCTAAATTATATATATATATATATATATATATATATATATATATATATATATATATATATATATATACACATACAAGGAGAGAGAGACACACACAGATGTTAGTAAACATGTACACATATACGCAACGACAGAGATATGGGATGCCTAAAGTAAGAGAAAAAAAAAAAGTAAATAAATCAATAAATAAAAGTGAAAAATGGACACGGATGTCCGTTTAAGGTCGGTGGGGGTGGAATTGAAATATAAGTTAAAAAAAAAAAAGAAAAAAAAGGAAAAAGAAAAGGGGACTGAAAATTAAGAATTAACTTGAGTCAAAAGAATTTACAATCATAGCACACTACACGAAAAGCATCATTCAAAAATACTACATTTACCATTTCTTACAAGTTCGGAGCATGGCCTAAGTGACTTTCCACTAATGTTCAATTTTCCGTCGCCAACGACAGATACTTATCAAATTTTACGGGGTAGGCTGGACTTATACTACAGATTGGTAGGGGGGGGCGATATCAAATAATTCATTAAACAAAGGGGTAGAAGCAGAGCAGTAATTATTATCATTATTTTTATTTTCTTTGATTTCTGGCGTTTACACATTTCTTTCCGGGTCCCGCCCAGGGACCTAAGGTTAGAAATGGCGTCATGACACTTTCCACTGACAAAAAAGAATTAAATTACATAGATAAAGCCCTTCGTAAGGTGTGGGCT